CGTGGAGGGGGGCATGGAGGGGGGGACGTGGAGGGGGGGAAGAGGAGGGGGGAAAGAGGCGGGGGGACCCGGAGAGGGGGTTTGGAGGGGTTTGGAAGGGGGGGTGGAGGGGGGAAACGTGATCCCGCGTGGTCTCCTCGACACGGTGTATGCGGGGACGTGGATTCCGAGGACATCTCCTCTCTTGAACGACGGGGGGATGCGATTGAGTGTGGACTGTGTGTGGGGGGTTTGGGTGGGGTGAGATCTCCATCCCCCTTCCCCCCTGCAAACGGGTGTGTGGGTGGTGGAGTCCCAAGTGCGCCGCAGCTCCGGAACCACGAAACCCACCTCCCAGCAGCCAGGCCTCGCAGCCACGCCGGTCACACTCATCCACGGGAGCATTGTCCAAGTAGGACAGTCGAGGCAGCGCCGAAACCAGGATCCTCCGGAGGTTGGGAATCTGGAACCAACAAAAAAACAGCAACAGCAACAGTAACAGCAGCAGCGGCAGCAGCAGTTGCAGAAACCTATTGAGGGTAGTAGATGTAGCTGGGGCCGTGCTGCCGTAGCCATTGCACCAGGTGCTCATGCATTTCCGATAATAAGGTTGTTGGGAACTGTGTAAGTTAACTAACGGCCTAATGGCCGCGAGAGCGTGCCGCGCGTACCTACCGCCGGCTGTGTGACTGCGGAGCGGTCAAGGACGATCGCGAGCTGCTGCATGTCTTTTGTGTGTGGCCACCGGGGCCTTCGAGGGGGCCTTCGAGTCAACAAGCGGGATGGGCTCATTGGCTTACGAGGGCGCGGAATGTGTTTAACTATTCCGGCGGAAGGGGCCCCAATAGCTGTGGCTAGGTTTCTCTCGGAGGTCTGCTGAGGAGACCAGGCGGCAGGTCGCCGCGCTCAGGCGGGCACGAGGCACGCTGAGGCCACAGGCGAGCGGGGGAGGAGAGGCGGCACGCAGTCCTTTCCACCGCAGGTGCCAGTGAGCCGCCTTGTCGTGAAACCCTAAAACCCCTCCCCCCAACCCCCCACCTGGCGCTGACCCGACGCCCCCATCGGTCGCCCCGACTCCCCCCATCCCTTCTCTATCCCCCCCACCTCTGCCCCCCTGCCCTGCCCCCTCTACCCCACCCCACACACACCTGGATTACGTTGCCTAATCCCCTCACCGCCATCCCCCTTTTCCCCCTCTTTCCCCCCTTTTCCCCCCTCCCCGACCACCTGCCTGCTGCAGTCGTGTATTCATGACGTACAGCACTCTGAGTCCCTTCATGTCGCACAGCAGCTGGAGTACATCCCTGCCTCCCAGCTGCGGGTTTGCGGACAGGTCCAGGACCTCCAGGGAGGGGCAGTGGTGGGTCGACAGGGGGTATAGACCGGCGGCGGAGGAGAGGCCTGGAGGGGGATTGGTGTGTGTGGGGGGGGGGGAGAGCGGAGGGCGGTGAGGGGGAACGAAGGGGCCAGGGAGGGGAGAAAAACGAGGGTGGCGTGCGCGCAGAAGGCCGCGGCCTCCTCAGGCATACGGTAGGACGTGCAGTAGTGCAATGTGGTATGTAGGTACAGGATCGAAATGCTGTAAGCGCCATGTGGTTGAAGACCTGTGTTGGGTACATCCATCCATCCATATCCATCCATCCATCCATCCATCCATCCATCCATCCATCCATCCATCCATACGTACATACATACATACGTGCGCAAGCTCCGAAAGGATCCCCAGCACCCTGCCGGCTCCCCTCTCCCCCGGCATGCAACCCAGCCCAATCACCTACCCAAGCACACCCCGACCTCAGCACCCTTCCCACGTGAGCCGCCTCCACCCCCAGTTCCCCCCCTCCCCCAGTCCCCCCCCT